ATACTTTATTTTACTATCATGTCCATCAATAAATAGTGTAACATTCTTAAAACCATCTGGATTGTTTATTATTGCTGATAGAATGCGAAAACGTGGTGATGAGAACATACTATCTAAATCTTGTTTTACCTTTTTATTCAATTCATTATAGTTAGTTATCCAGAACCGCTTATACAAATCATAAAATGTTGCATATGGCATAACAGTATGCATATCCTTTCCTGATACACCTGATACCATATGATATAATAATGCAAGTCCTTTTTCAATCTCGCGGTATGGCCCTGGATATTCAATATTTCTATATAAAACTGAAAGAAAATAAAATACAGATATAAATCCAAATCTATTAAGTAATACATCCTTTATATCATTTATTGTATTATTCTTCATATCTTTAATAGCTGTTCTATGATTAAATCTATGTTGCATTTCAGGCCAAGATTTATCAAGAAAATTCCATTTATTATCAATTAAATCTTTAATTTCAATATCGAGTTGTTCAGTGATTTGTGTTGTGTTCATTTTTATTTGTTGTTATGTACTTTAAACAATCGCTCTTTTTTTTCTCGTGGGAGGCTACCAATATAAATAAAAAAATTCAATTTTTATTATTTTTATTGTAAATCAATAATTAATTCGGCCACTGATGGTTATACCGATCATAGCAATTTTATTATCTATATTACAGCTAGTAGATTATAATTGGTTAGACAACTAATAGTAGGACGCCAGTGCAACAAACTCTGTATGCTCTTTTACAAAGGCAGCAATGCTGGGTGCTTTTCGGTTCATGTGGGGCCCTTTCAAATAGGCTTCTATTACTATAAGTGAGATAGAAACAATTAAGTTAACGAAAAGCAGATCTATAAATTCTGCTCACTGAATCACCTGTCCAGATCTCCATGGTAACAGTAACGGTGCGTAGCAATGGAAAGACCTACTATGGAACGCGTATTCGCCCTTAATTGAGTTCAAAGTAGATGATGGCTTGAGAAGAGCAATCCTTAATTGTAGATAAATCTTTTAAATATTTGATTTTGTAAAACTTATTGTTTAAATTTTATATAAAAATTGATATAACTTTTAATTGATTTATCCTTAATGATAATGACAATAAATAAAAAAAATTATTTTTTGATTATTTTATATCTAAGAAAAAATAATTAAAATTATCTAAATATTTATCATTTAGAATAATTTATTAATTTTGATCATTAACTTTAAAGACTTAATGATTAAAAAAGATGAAACATATAAAATGTTTTATCTTTTGATCAATAATTCTTCTAATGACTAAACTTTCCTTTATGGACTAAATTCCCCAGAGTAGTAACGAGGATATTAACTTATAGTAGTAAGTTGCTCTACCCTCTAAAGTTGTAAGTTGGAACTTACAACACGACTCTTTTTGTGTGAGCCTGTAGGCCCATGTCACATGTACATAGCAGTGTTGTGCTAGAGACAATAGGAAGAGGTGGAAAGTACAGAATAAAATGTAGAGAGGGACGAAAATAAGTCTCTTAATCTAAGGTAGTGATCTTGGGAGACGAAGCTGAGTAAGTAGCTATATTGCTAGTAAGATCACCATATAGTAGTTTAAAGGGACTCGGTCGAAAATCCAAGTCTAGTAGACACGCCAGCGTGCCAGGAGGATGGATTGAACGACCATGGTCCGTAGGTGCATAGTTGTGGTAGGGGCTTCATGCTAGTCTAGATTGATGATGAAATGTAGGAGGACATCACAGTCTAGTTCGGTGTAAAAGACTAAGGAAGCCCCAGACTTGTTTCCATACTGCCTAACACAGTAGGCAATAGATAAGAAAGTGACAGGTAGTATCAATCAAACCTAGGCATAATTGGCATCACGAGCTTGGCATAAAATCCGGAACAATAAGGTGAAGGAGACTGGCAGTGAGGAGTGTGTGATGGATTGTGCGATACCAGAGATTTCAGGTTGGATGGTGCATCGTACTAAGCCAGAACTGGCGCCAACATCTAGCAGTAGATGTCATGGAGCGTGGCGGCGTTCAAGTAGTGCTTAAAATGAGACGACGAAAAGTGCGAGTGGTGAGACCTTGGTTGGTGAAATGGACAATGAAAAGGGGGGCGCAGCACGCTACCATCGGCGGTGCCTCGCTGCCCATTGTGTTGAGCCAATAGATGAGATGCTGTGAGACAAAGTCGACTGAAAAAAGTATTACAGTATGATGCTGCCATGCTACATGGTTTTGAAAAAGTGGCGAGTGACACGTGGATGGGGGATTGAATCGTCCTGTGGTAGACGTCGTCGTAGAGAACTATTTGTCGTGTCAAAGAGGTACAGATCCGATACTTTCATTTTCTTGAGGGTCAAGGAGCGGAGCAAGTCCTTGACACCGGCATTTTCTGCGCAGCACGGTAAGCAGAGCCCAAGTGCCAGTAGGATATAGACGGACGACGGTGGCAGTTGAACTTGATCAATTGAGGCAAGAGTAAGTGACGCTATTGTCGAAGGTTGTTGCTGTAGAAGACGAGGGCATGTTTCAGGGAAGGCGAGTAGGAGGCAATGATCGGCAGATTCGATGTGATGCACAGCAGGTGGTGCGCCAGATAAAGTATTACCAGGGAACCTAATGTATTGGCGTTAGGATAATCGACTAGAGGTTGTATCCAACGTAGTTGCAGTGCTTGGTGCTGTGCTCGAGGGTCGAGAACTTGTAAACCGCCCTGTTGCTATGGTTTCTAGAGACGGGATATGGCGATTCGGGGAAACTTGCAGTGCGAGATAAAGCTGGATATGACGCTCTGTAACGTAATTTAAAGGACGAAGCAGAGGTATCGGTTACGGTTAACCTCAGGACATACCATAGTCGAGAGAGTAAGAATGTGCTGAGAACTGTTGCACGCCCGTGCACAGACAGTTGGCGTTGTTGATGTAGATAGCAGCCGTTGCGTATACTGATAAGGAGTCGATCTATTAAAAGGCGATGTTGTGCTGTAGATGTTGCCAGAGGAACCCCAAATAGATCGCTGCTTCAGCGTTCGAGCGATCGTGACAGGTAGGGTATATGGAAGTCAGACACCGTCGCCTGTGTTGCAATGAAGATTGTACCCCTTTTCACATGGCGTATCATATTTATTGCTTTCATTAGTTCTCATTATCGTCCCTCATTTCGTTCTTACACCGTAATTGGTTGATTTCCTAAGCCCTAATAACACTGTGGCTCCAACAGCAATACAAAATTCTCAATGCCTTTGGTACCTCTCCCTCTCTGCGTTTTCTTTTTCGCTTCATAAATCAAAGATAGCACTTTTAAGCCGTCTCAAGTAGAAAGCGGAATGATACCTTGCAGGTGCGTGGGTCGATCCCACTATTGCCTTGCGTCCCTCTCCCTCTCTGCGTTTTCTCTCAAAAGCTCTACCATTGTGCTATCGTAACTCGTCGCTTTACAGTTGTCTTCTTAAGCTAAGATCGTGGTCCTTTTGATTTTATTGTTGGATAGAAAGTAACAACTACTAAGGCAACAGGTAGCGCCTTTAAAATTGGAAATGCTGCCTTATATATATATATATTGTCATGAAACAATTCTTCGTTGCTCGAGAGATACTGCTCAGCAGTGAGCCGTATATACGTTTGACCAAAAACCTCCTAACGGCGATGTGATACTTTATCGTATGATATAGCAATTGTATGTTGGGCTCGGCCTACTGGAATTGCTCAAATATGCCAGTATTACGGAGTGAGTTCTCTAAGTGGAAAAGTTCGACGAAACCCAAGCAACGTTCGTTTGGCGTTGCTAAACAGTGTCACAATATGGTTTTGCTCTATGGGATAGTGGCATAAACTTATGGTTGTCACTTATACTAACAGGGCTATCTTTTTATTTTATAGAAATAAATTAAATGCTGTCGAGTGCACAATTTGTGAAACGCCGATAAACACGGATCAAGTTCAAGGCAGGATAATGTCCAGGATCTTTCAACTATCTGCTTTTGTAAGTGCCACATGTGTGCGTATGTTTGAGAAACAGATAAACGGAGCTCTCATATCAGGAAATTTATTAACATGTTACTAACTATAGCCTTTTAGCACTCATTTACCTTTACACAGATCTTCAGTCCCACCCAGCTCTTCATGGCACATCAACACCAACGCATTATCAAGTACTATTTAATAAAAATCAAGTCTTAACGAGAGCTTACATATCAATTTCGCTATATCTACCTTCGTGCCACGCGTGCAGTATCATTTGTACTTGATATGCTCGAATTCTGTGCTGTTTCCATTGTCTAATTGAACATTGGTGCGTTACTAAAACCGAGTCGTCGTCTGAAAGTTGCTGAGCCTAAGCAAAAGAAGAAAGGTTATGGCGCTGTGGGACTCAAATTATAGAAAGGTAAAGTTTCGGTGCTGATAAAGTTAGAAGAAAACGTGAGGAAAGCTATTACATAAGTAATAGAATTTTAAGTACTGCTATACTTGTGCCAGCTAGTCACCTTTTTTACGATTTATGTACTACATATGAAGAAGCGATCAAATTCATTTCCCTTCATTTAGCGGTGTACTTCTTATCCTGTTACTGTGTACCCATTTCAGCTGCTTGTATCATGAAAATTGTCTATAAAAAGTGCTGTTGAAATATCCTGCCTATTATATGCGAGAATGTACATATATATAGCTTGGAATAGCAGAGGTAGGTAAGAAAGGAACAAGGCTATTGTAATGGTATACAGTGTTTAAAAGAAGTACATTATAGATTGCTTTGATTTCAAATAATAAAAAGAAAGAAAGATGTGAAGCTGCTGTGAAGGACATACTTTTCAACATTACCCGAAAACAGTGCCTTTCAAACAACAGCTGCTCCTGTGGTAGTAGAAGTATAATTTCTCCATCGTGTCAATTAAATAGTAAGGTGCCAACAAACGAGGACCGAAACACGATGCATTCTAGCTTCAGATACTGGAATAAATCAAAAAAACTTTCCTTCTAATTCTATATTGATACTGGTTCGTAATCTGCCCTTTTACTCTGTTTTGGTTTCAGCTGAAACTATGTGATTGAATCTTGAAGAATAATGACAGATCTGATTGATGTAAGTACTACGGAATTACAGGATGAGAATACTGAATAATGAATAATGACGAAATTACATAATGAAAACGCTTAAAAAACATGACAGATGAAAATTGGTAAAAGGTAATATGGTATATGAGATTATGTGCTTTTTTGTTTTTTGTTTGACGAGGTCGCTGATGTGGAGGAAGTTATGGCTGATGATGATGATGGTGCAGATGATGCGGACGACACTGAGCCGGGGAGAAACGTAGCGGGAGGAATGGCTGGATTTGTTCAGAATGTCAACGTCGACAAAGGCACTTCATAAGAACTGTAGGTTTCATATGTGTCCTCAGCTATTTGCTTTCCACAAGCAGCGAGTTTGAGGAGAGGGCACAAGCGCACGACGAAATTATCCTTGTTTGGATATTCTGCTGGCCTTGTACGTCGAATTCTAGTGATATACCCTTGTGGTATATCCATGTCAAGAAGGACAATATCATTGCCTAAGAGTTGTGGGGCACATAGTAAGTATCCTTGCCAACATTAAGTTACTTATCTAACACACTATACGTACCATTGATATTGTATCCCATGGTGTGCAGCTTGTTGATGAGGTCTGGAGATCGGTTGACCATCTTTAACAGCATGTCCCGCATGACGATTGGCATCTTGATCAATCCATCGGACCATTCCTTCGTTTGATCGCTCGTTTTCCCAATCTTGAGGCACCCCAACTCCACATCTCCGGCTCCCACGTACACGGTGTCCATTCTTCGTCCGATCTTCAAGCTGTTTACCACATTAACTGCTGATATCTTCCTCTTGTTATTGCTTGCCTCCGCATTCGCAACGCTTGACTTTTCCTTGCTATAAGCATCATTTTCCAAGCATTAGTTTGCAATCAAAACATAAGCATCCACGCGGTCAGCTTACCCAAGTGCATCAATATACTCTGAGTCATTAAAAATCGTATTAACAAAGCTCCATAGATAATAGAGCTTTTCTGATTCAAGGTACTGTTGGATGTTGTAGTTGTTTTTCTTTAAAAACAATGAAGCAGTGTTCTGCAGTGTCAATGACAGCCATGCGAGCATGCCGTCAACTTCAACATCGTACTCCATCCTTCGTGCGAACTCGTAGGCCTCTCGGGCAGTTTTCTTTAGTGATAAAATATCGTGAGCATTGGGTTCTCATAGACAGTATGGTAATACAACTTCAAATCACTTACCACCTTTCTCAAATTATTCAAATTGGCTTCTACAGCCTTGTCAATGGGTGGGAGAACTGGTCTCCCGAACCCCTCCAACTCTTCCAGCTCCTCCTCCGAAAAAACCTCTGTCCAATGCGCGTTGCCCAGGTCTAGAATCAAAGATTGGCTTAGGCTAACAGGCAATGGAAGATATGAGACAACCAGGCATATGGATCTTCGGTAGAATGTACTATCCAAGTCTACTTACTGATAGAAATTGCATTTCATCGCAAACTCTATGACCCACTCCTTGACAGATTTTGCGGCAATGCCTCGGGTTTCGGCGTCCCTTGTGATGGCAATAGGGATCCGTATCAGAACCGTAGAACCGGAACCGAACCGAACCGAAACCGAGAAAATACGGTTCGGTTCCTGTCAAGAACCGAACCGGAACCGAACCGGTTCTGCATAAGTAGAACCGAAGAACCGAGAGGCAGAAGATTGCATTTAGCGATTTTGGTAATTAGTACAAAGTAGGCTATAATGGAAGTGACGAACAATGTTATTCCAAAAAGACCAAGAAGTAGTGTATTTGCAAGCCGTACTTCATTTAAAAACTTAACAAAACCTGCAAAAGCAGAAGGGAGGGAAAAATAGTAAAGAAGAGAAGAGAAAATAAATAAAAAAGCAGAAAAAGAAAGCAGGAAAAGAAAAAGAACTAGGGAAAAGAGGTACAAAAAAGAGGTGCGGAAAGGAGATACAGGAACGAAGAGACGGAAACGTTTTAATCGTGAAAGTCGAAGGAGCACCACGAATCCAAAAGCATTAGCATTTCGATGGTGTGCGGTTGGAGGCGGTTTCGTGTGTACGGCAGGAGAAGTCGAGTTTGGGAAAAGCAACGTTCCGATGGTGTGGAAGTGACTGGGACCGCCAAATATTTTGCTGGGATTTCCAGTATGAAAGGACCAGTGGTTCTTGTCCTTTCTGGTTTGGTACCGGTCTTCTTAATCGCTCGTCCAAGTAAACCTCTAATTCGTCACCAGCCGTGGACGTCATATATAGGCTGTACAAGCTTTGCATCTCGTCATTCACTTCGGGCCTCATAGCAGCGCCTTTCGGGAATGCTGCCCAGGCCTCGTGCACCATCCGCTGGCTCGAAACTTGGTATTCGTCTTCCCACCCTGCTTGGCGCCACCAAGAAAACTTCATCTGCGGATCCAATGCCGTCGCAACTGCGTATACATCCGTATCGTCTACCTTGCAATAGTACCTTTGGAACTTGTCGAGGCCACGTCTGGCCGCACGTTTTAATTCCGGTGGATAACCATCGCTGACAACGTCCTCCAAAGTATCCATCAACTTGTTATAATGGACAATCGCCGTGTTGATGGTAGGGTGGCTCGTACTGGCGGACAAGGCTTTGGTCGACTTATAGAAGGGCGCCAAGATTTCCTTCAGCTGGTCGATACGCTTCCATTCTTCCGTTGTGAGCTTGAACGGTAATAACTCATCGTTGATGCTATTCGAGCAAAGTACGTTATATGGTACACGTAGTAAGGCTGCACAGTCAAGCATGTCATACGTCGAATTCCAGCGGGTGGCCACGTCGATATGGAGGGTGAGCTGAGTGGAGCAATCCGAGTTTTGTTGGCGCATGAACTGCTCCATGCGCTGAGGCGAAGAACTATGTAAAATCAAAGGTATAATGAGTAAATGGTGCCAATGATACCATCGAGTAGGGAATACGTATTTGATGATAGTAATCACTTACCGAGTCTTTTTGATTCCTTTTCGTAGCTTGACCAGCACATTCATTGCTTCGATCTCTTGCTCCTCCAAAGCGCGTTCTGCGTTTACCTCGAAGGTTGCATTGACATCGACGTCGTCACTTTCGTCCTCGGCATCACTATCACCAGTATTGTCGCGCAACGTTGGACCTAGGCTTCAACGTAGGATGTCTTGGACCGCCAAGTTCAGCACATGGCCAAGGCATGGGATATGGTGCTGCCCTGCATAGAATGACCTAATACAGATGGTATTGTATAAGCTCATGAACCGATATTGCCAAATATTTCAAATTCGCATTTATACTCTCGATACTTACCATCCATTGTCAACAGCGTGGTGCTCAACGATCCGAGCCATCTTCTTCATATTTGAAGCATTATCCGTCGTGATAGTAAATAGTTTGGGCCCTAGGCCGAACTCATCCAAGACACGGATAAAAGCATTGGCAAGATTTTCTGCTGAATGGGGCCCCTCCAGTGATACAAATCCGAGGATGATTTCATGCATGGTCCAAGTCGATGGGGAAATCCAGTGGCCAGTAACAGAAAGGAAAGCATCGTTGTAGGGGCTGGTCCAACCATCAAGTGTGCATGAAATTGCAGGAATCTTGTCCAACACGGCGCGCAACTTAGTTTTGTACAGGCCGTACTCCTCTTTGGTCTAAAGGTAATAAATGGGGCATGAAAATTATAATTTTTTGTCTGTATTGTGCATGGAAAAAATGTATCTAATATTTACCTTATTCGCAATTGTATCGGCACTTGGGAGCTGCACCATTTCCGTGGCAGATGCAGATTGTGCAATCTCCAAAAGTTCCTACAAATCGTTGTTCTCAGCCAAGGTAAATGGCAGTTTGCTTTTTACGATGAACCTGACGAAGGCCTTCAGAAATTGCTCGGGTGTGAATACACGGGCACGGTTCGTCTGGACAAAGGAATCAAGGGGACCGTCAGAACGCTTGCTTCCGGTGTGGGGGCCGCACTCCCTAGTGATACTATGGACCTTGTTCAAGTGCTTGCTCAATCCGGACGTATTGCTTTGCTCAGCAGCGAAAGTTTTGGTGCAATTTCCCACCAGGCAACGGATGCGCGGCTTACCGTCCTTGTCATCATAGCGCTTACCGAAGCTATACTTGAATACCCAACTGGATCCCTTGCCTTGCGATTAATGAACAGATACGGAAATAGACTCGGAATCAGTGTTGGCACCGCCGGCATCAATGTCTTCATCAGTAAGCGATATAGTATCGACTGATATGGCGGAAGGCACACGAGAAAAGGTTGGGGTTTGGATAGGAGTTTCTTGTGCCTTAATGGAAAAATATTATGGAGATCAATACACGTTTGAGATTTGCAATAGAGTTCACCACAACACGACATAACACGACACAACACAAACCAATCGCACAGTGATATTTACCCCATCATGAAGAGCAGCACGGACATCGCGGGAAGAAGAACCAATTTGATAGACCATGATTGAAATGTAGGAAGGCAACAGAGTTTTGAGGTAGAGTAGTATGTTAAGTGTACGGTAGATACAAGGATCGATGCTACAAAAATAAACGCCTTTATATATTTTTCAAATGATGCCGCTGATGTCATTTATTGGACTTCTGATGGACGGATTCTTACAGATGATATCATCGACTTGCAGTTTACTCAACTCAATTCTTCCGACAAAGCAAAACGATGATGATATCATATAAGCTCATCCTGAAAAAGGTTTACATTATTGCTGGCTGTCAATGCTTCTATGAATGACGCGTTTCGGGGTTCCTGGACGTGTAGTAATGAGGATCGGCAATAAAAAAGGAAAATGATATCATCGTTTTCTTATTCTTATATTTAGGTTGCTCTCATTTCGCTCCGAACAGAGAACACCATACCCCAATGTAGTAATGGAAAATTGAATTTTCCATTTTCCTTCCAAAAGAGGGCTTCTCGGAGGCCTCCAATTTTGGTAACGGCTTCTCCGATGGTGTTGTATCCAGAGGATCGGGACATCAAATAAGTTCCACAAAGACAATTTCTTTATATGAATAACTAGTAATAAGAATATTTGGAACTCTCTCTTTCTCTCGTAATAAAAACTTGACCGTTAAGAGTCTCACGAATTATCTCGTCCCATTTCCGATCCTCGACAAAACAGATGGAAACGCCTCTGTGGTGGCTCGCTCGGATCGATATAAAAGGAAACTGTCACTTCATGAATAATAAAAGATTGAAAGAAAAATACACCCCTATTTTTCATCTATTTTATCTGCTTTTATCAAAAAATGAACAATATTCCACTATCAGCTATTATTCGCAATCGCGTTGTTATTTATGCAACACCTCGGGGTATGTACAGAAAAGGAAGTTTCTCGGCGCGTTGCGCCTTTATCTCGATCCGAGTAGAGAGGACTTTAAATTTTTGCAAAACTGTTTTGGGTTCTCTGTTCGGAGCGAAATGAGGGCAACCATATTTAAGCTCACATCTTCCGATGACCTCATTTGTAACCACTTATTCCGACATCAGATGCGCTAATAATAGAAGGAGTTCTGCTTCGGCTAGTAGAATATGTGATGACAACCATTATCATCCATTTTATCCATAAGGCAACTGTTTATCATGTGTGCGAACATGTAAATGAATGATCTGGATGTACTTCGTTTGTAAATTCCTTACTATTGATTCAATCACTTAATTTGAGGTGATTGGAAAAGAAATGATCGGAAAAGAAAAAATACACTCATTTCCTTTGTTACTTCTTCTGACGGCAGCTTGCTTTCTCCGCCCATGATGCGAGTCATTACTTGTTCTTCTACTTTGCTACCCACAATGCATTTTTCTCCATGACGTACTACTTTACCAGATTTAGCATGGCTTCTCGATCAGTTGTATCAAGTTTGTGCATTCCATCTGAGATTGCGCATCCTGGGGCCCGTAACAGAATTATCTTACCGTTCACCCTTCGCCTTTTATGAGACACTATACACGCGTAGAGTCGCAGTAGCTGTGTGTACTGCCGGTTGCGGTTTAATTCCTCCATATTACGATAACATATTGTATGATACTAGTAATACTACGTCGCTCTAACTACTATAAGCACCACTTTTTTTTTTGTAAAAACTGTGCTTTAATCTTCTAACGATGCAATGACCCACATCGTATAAAAAATGTTTACATTCTGTTTCTCTTATTCATTTTGAGATCGCTGTTCAATGTACAATAATAAACTATTCTTTTTTACTGCAGTATTCAAGTATACCGCGATATTTGAACACACACATCAGCTTTCATTTAAAAATACCGAATTTCGCCTTTTTTATATACATGATGGGTTCGGTTCTTCGGTTCGATTCTCGGTTCTACGGTTCTCGTCGGTTCTAGTCGGTTCGGTTCTTGCTTTAGACGGTTCGGTTCGGTTCCCTTCAAGAACCGAACCGAACCGAACCGTACGGAACCCTATATAGCAGCATGTTCAAGTTGTATAGATATATTAAAGGACATGTGTGGATATGGGTTTTTTGATGAAATGATAAATTAATTAGAAAAAGAAAAATATATATATTAAAAGTTTTTTTAAACATATTTTAACTATGATATCTTTCTAGTAAGTAAAAAAAATCAGGATATTATTTATATGACACAACAGAAAATGCAAGCATTATATATTAGAGAACAAAATGAAATAAATAAAGATAAATCAGATTATTCATCTGATTTAGAATAAATATTTTAATTTGGCTATTGATAGCTATATCAGCTACAGTTAGGGGTCGCAATTAGACGGGTCGGGTCGGGTCAAGGGTCTGACCTGTTGACCTGTGGGTCAAGAAAACACTGACCCGACCCGACCCGTTCAACCCGATGGGTCAAAACTCGGGTTGATGGGTCAAGACTGATTTCAATGTAGTGATGAAGGAAGTGTCGATCAGCCTTAACTTGAGTGCTGGAAGTGCAAAACTCTATATATATATAGCTCTCTAAGATGATGGCACGCAAATTCCTAGCAGTGCTAGCAACATCTACGTTTTGAGTGATTATTCTTAAAGGTAAAGGGTTCTGTGCCATCACAAAAGAAATCGCTTGGGCTCACATGCTTTAAAGAAAGCATAATATTTAAAGTGTGGTTGAAAATCGACTTCCCTATATGCCCCTTATCCTTTTCCCTTTTCTTTTCACTTCTTTCTTCTTCCTTCGATTTTCTTTTCTCGATTCCTTTTCTGTCTTTTGTTAAATCGCGTCTCTTACTGCCACCCTCTATTGTATATTCTTATTGCACTATTGCTACTTCTTTACTCCTATCATATATATTGCTTATAGCTTACTTATCCCATACTGTTGAATATAAAGTATAATCCCACAATAAAAAGAATTAAGTACGTTTTATGCTATAGCTCTATAGCAGACATAATGACAACTAATTATGTTTCCCAACAAGAAGATTGACTACTTAAATATAAGTACCTCATACATATTATATGTATACACGGGTCACGACGGGTCAATGGGTCGGGTCAAGGGTTGGACGGGTCGACCCGCAGGTCAGAAAAGCATCAACCTGACCCGTTGACCCGTCCTCAACCCGCAGGTTGGTTTTGACCCACGGGTCAGATTGCGACCCCTAGCTACAGTAATCTATTAGCTATAATGCGACTAGTAGTTTACAAGCAGCTAAACAACTAATGGCAGGCGTTCATTTCTTGGTGCACCTATTGCCATCAGTAACTATAAATATGTTTCAAAAATCAGTATTCTATCAATTTGATTACCTGTAAGCTGGATTGGTTATCATCCCTGTTGCTAATACTGTGGCTGTGGCTGTTACTTTCCTCTGAGCAGCCCAGCAATTATATAAAAGAGTCAGTATTAAACAAGGAGCAGATGATGACTAATAATCTTATGTGTGATTGTCATATACCAGAAACTTTGTAAGCATATTCTACTATAAGTTGACAAACACAGTTGTCATGTCTCTTGAATACTGTAGTAAACGATTTTTCTAGTAGGATGTTACCATAGAAACAAGAGCGAGTAAGCATGAAAATTACCAAGAAAACCTCCAATTTTATAGCAATATTGTAAATACGGCTAGACCAAATGGACTCAAGGTCTTCACTGAACTTGGAAAGCAGTGCAACAAACTCTGTATGCTCTTTCACAAAGTCAGCAATGCTGGGTGTTTTTCGGTTCGTGTGGGGCCCTTTCAAATAGGCTTCTATTACTATAAGCGAGATAGAAACAATTAAGTTAACGAAAAGTAGATCTATAAATTCTGCTCACTCAATCACCTGTCCGGATCTCCATGGTAACAACAACGGTGCATAGCAATAGAAAGACCTACTATAGAATGCGTATTCGCCCTTAATTGAGTTCAAAGTAGATGATGGCTTGAGAAGAGTAATCCTTAATTGTAGATAAATCTTTTAAATGTTTGATTTTGTAAAACTTATTGTTTAAATTTTATATAAAAATCGATATAACTTCTAATTGATTTATCCTTAATGATAATGACAATAAATAAAAAAAAATTATTTTTTTATTATTTTATATTTAAGAAAAAAATAATAAAATTATCTAAATATTTATTATTTAGAATAATTTATTAATTTTGATCATTAACTTAAAGACTTAATGATTAAAAAAGATGAAATATATAAAATGTTTTATCTTTTGATCAATAATTCTTCTAATGACTAAACTTTCCTTTACGGACTAAATTCCCCAGAGTGGTAACGAGGATATTAACTTATAGTAGTAAGTTGCTCTACCCTCTAAAGTTGTAAGTTGGAACTTACAACACGACTCTTTTTGTATGAGCCTGTAGGCCTATGTCACATATACATAGCAGTGTTGTGCTAGAGACGATAGGAAGAGGTAGAAAGTACAGAATAAAATGTAGAGAGGGACGAAAATAAGTCTATTAATCTAAGGCAGTGATCTTGGGAGCCGAAGCTGAGCAAGTAGCTATATTGCTAGTAAGATCACCATATAGTGGTTTAAAGGGACTCGGTTGAAAATCCAAGTCCAGTAGACACGCCAGCGTGCCAGGAGGATGGATTGAACGACCATGGTCCGTAGTAGGTGCATAGTTGTGGTAGGGGCTTCATGCTAGTCTAGATTGATGATGAAATGTAGGAGGACATTACGGTCTAGTTCGGTGTAAAAGACTAAGGAAGCCCCAGACTTGTTTCCATACTGCCTAACACAGTAGGCAATAGATAAGAAAGTGACAGGTAGTATCAATCAAACCTAGGCATAATTGGCATCACGAGCTTGGCATAAAATCTGGAACAATAAGGTGAAGGAGACTGGCAGTGAGGAGTGTGTGATGGATTGTGCGATACCAGAGATTTCAGGTTGGATGGTGCATCGTACTAAGCCAGAACTGGCGCCAACATCTAGCAGTAGATGTCATGGAGCGTGGCGGCGTTCAAGTAGTGCTTAAAATGAGACGACGAAAAGTGCGAGTGGTGAGACCTTGGTTGGTGAAATGGACAATGAAAAGGGGGGCGCAGCACGCTACCATCGGCGGTGCCTCGCTGCCCATTGTGTTGAGCCAATAGATGAGATGCTGTGAGACAAAGTCGACTGAAAAAAGTATTACAGTATGATGCTGCCATGCTACATGGTTTTGAAAAAGTGGCGAGTGACACGTGGATGGGGGATTGAATCGTCCTGTGGTAGACGTCGTCGTAGAGAACTATTTGTCGTGTCAAAGAGGTACAGATCCGATACTTTCATTTTCTTGAGGGTCAAGGAGCGGAGCAAGTCCTTGACACCGGCATTTTCTGCGCAGCACGGTAAGCAGAGCCCAAGTGCCAGTAGGATATAGACGGACGACGGTGGCAGTTGAACTTGATCAATTGAGGCAAGAGTAAGTGACGCTATTGTCGAAGGTTGTTGCTGTAGAAGACGAGGGCATGTTTCAGGGAAGGCGAGTAGGAGGCAATGATCGGCAGATTCGATGTGATGCACAGTAGGTGGTGCGCCAGATAAAGTATTACCAGGGAACCTAATGTATTGGCGTTAGGATAATCGACTAGAGGTTGTATCCAACGTAGTTGCAGTGCTTGGTGCTGTGCTCGAGGGTCGAGAACTTGTAAACCGCCCTGTTGCTATGGTTTCTAGAGACGGGATATGGCGATTCGGGGAAACTTGCAGTGCGAGATAAAGCTGGATATGACGCTCTGTAACGTAATTTAAAGGACGAAGCAGAGGTATCGGTTACGGTTAACCTCAGGACATACCATAGTCGAGAGAGTAAGAATGTGCTGAGAACTGTTGCACGCCCGTGCACAGACAGTTGGCGTTGTTGATGTAGATAGCAGCCGTTGCGTATACTGATAAGGAGTCGATCTATTAAAAGGCGATGTTGTGCTGTAGATGTTGCCAGAGGAACCCCAAATAGATCGCTGCTTCAGCGTTCGAGCGATCGTGACAGGTAGGGTATATAGAAGTCAGACACCGTCGCCTGTGTTGCAATGAAGATTGTACCCCTTTTCACATGGCGTATCATGTTTATTGCTTTCATTAGTTCTCATTATCGTCCCTCATTTCGTTCTTACACCGTAAATGGTTGATTTCCTAAGCCCTAATAACACTGTGGCTCCGACAGCAATACAAAATTCTCAATGCCTTTGGTACCTCTCCCTCTCTGCGTTTTCTTTTTCGCTTCATAAATCAAAGATAGCACTTTTAAGCCGTCTCAAGTAGAAAGCGGAATGATACCTTGCAGGTGCGTGGGTCGATCCCACTATTGCCTTGCGTCCCTCTCCCTCTCTGCGTTTTCTCTCAAAAGCTCTACCATTGTGCTATCGTAACTCGTCGCTTTACAGTTGTCTTCTTAAGCTAAGATCGTGGTCCTTTTGATTTTATTGTTGGATAGAAAGTAACAACTACCAAGGCAACAGGTAGCGCCTTTAAAATTGGAAATGCTGCCTTATATATATATATATTGTCATGAAACAATTCTTCGTTGCTCGAGAGATACTGCTCAGCAGTGAGCCGTATATACGTTTGACCAAAAACCTCCTAACGGCGATGTGATACTTTATCGTATGATATAGCAATTGTATGTTGGGCTCGGCCTACTGGAATTGCTCAAATATGCCAGTATTACGGAGTGAGTTCTCTAAGTGGAAAAGTTCGACGAAACCTAAGCAACGTTCGTTTGGCGTTGCTAAACAGTGTCACAATATGGTTTTGCTCTATGGGATAGTGGCATAAACTTATGGTTGTCACTTATACTAACAGGGCTATCTTTTTATTTTATAGAAATAAATTAAATGCTGTCGAGTGCACAATTTGTGAAACGCCGATAAACACGGATCAAGTTCAAGGCAGGATAATGTCCAGGATCTTTCAACTATCTGCTTTTGTAAGTGCCACATGTGTGCGTATATTTGAGAAACAGATAAACGGAGCTCTCATATCAGGAAATTTATTAACATGTTACTAACTATAGCCTTTTAGCACTCATTTACCTTTACACAGATCTTCAGTCCCACCCAGCTCTTCATGGCACATCAACACCAACGCATTATCAAGTACTATTTAATAAAAATCAAGTCTTAACGAGAGCTTACATATCAATTTCGCTATATCTACCTTCGTGCCACGCGTGCAGTATCATTTGTACTTGATATGCTCGAATTCTGTGCTGTTTCCATTGTCTAATTGAACATTGGTGCGTTACTAAAACCGAGTCGTCGTCTGAAAGTTGCTGAGCCTAAGCAAAAGAAGAAAGGTTATGGCGCTGTGGGACTCAAATTATAGAAAGGTAAAGTTTCGGTGCTGATAAAGTTAGAAGAAAACGTGAGGAAAGCTATTACATAAGTAATAGAATTTTATGTACTGCTATACTTGTGCCAGCTAGTCACCTTTTTTACGATTTATGTACTATATATGAAGAAGCGATCAAATTCATTTCCCTTCATTTAGCGGTGTACTTCTTTTCCTGTTACTGTGTACCCATTTCAGCTGCTTGTATCATGAAAATTGTCTATAAAAAGTGCTGTTGAAATATCCTGCCTATTATATGCGAGAATGTACATATATATAGCTTGGAATAGCAGAGGTAGGTAAGAAAGGAACAAGGCTATTGTAATGGTATACAGTGTTTAAAAGAAGTACATTATAGATTGCTTTGATTTCAAATAATAAAAAGAAAGGAAGATGTGAAGCTGCTGTGAAGGACATACTTTTCAACATTACCCGAAAACAGTGCCTTTCAAACAACAGCTGCTCCTGTGGTAGTAGAAGTATAATTTCTCCATCGTGTCAATTAAATAGTAAGGTGCCAACAAACGAGGACCGAAACACGATGCATTCTAGCTTCAGATACTGGAATAAATCAAAAAAACTTTCCTTCTAATTCAATATTGATACTGGTTCGTAATCTGCCCTTTTACTCTGTTTTGGTTCCAGCTGAAACTATGTGATTGAATCTTGAAGAATAATGACAGATCTGATTGATGTAAGTACTATGGAATTACAGGATGAGAATACTGAATAATGAATAATGACGAAATTACATAATGAAAACGCTTAAAAAACATGACAGATGAAAATTGGTAAAAGGTAATATGGTATATGAGATTATGTGCTTTTTTGTTTTTAGTTTGACGAGGTCGCTGATGTGGAGGAAGTTATGGCTGATGATGATGATGGTGCAGATGATGCGGACGACACTGAGCTGGGGAGAAACGTAGCGGGAGGAATGGCCGGATTTGTTCAGAATGTCAACGTCGACAAAGGCACTTCATAAGAACTGTAGGTTTCATATGTGTCCTCAGCTATTTGCTTTCCACAAGCAGCGAGTTTGAGAAGAGGGCATAAGCGCAAGACGAAATTATCCTTGATTGGATATTCTGCTGGCCTTATACGTCGATTTCTAGTGATATACCCTTGCAGTATATCCATGTCAAGAAGGACAATATCATTGCCTAAGAGTTGTGGGGCACATAGTAAGTATCCTTACCAACATTAAGTTACTTATCTAAGGGGGACATCTAACTCCAATTAGATATTAGATAATACTATTGGCTGTAAAAATCCAAATTGTACAAAAAATTGAATTTTGTGTATATATAAAAATAATTGGTAAGAAAGGAATGCCAGGTATGAATTCACATTATGTTATATACCAGTTGAAGAAAATATTATAAATAGTAGAGTATGCAATTTTATAATATACCAAGATTATGCTTATTGATATATTCCTTCAATAAATCCTTTTGATTAAATTTATCAATTGATAACCAACTGTTATCATCAGCACTATATCCAACCCATTTTACCTCAAATAAATATGTACCATTTTCAGTTTTATGCCTAATAATCTCTTCTATTTCATATGATGCCATTGCTTGTTGTTTCCCTTTATTTCGCTTTCTTTTATTACTACGCTCATTAAATATTGGAACATCATCATTATCACTATTACTCTGATTTGAATTATTATCAGATTCATTATCAACAATCATTTCTTCATTTGATATAGCCATATTAAGCAGGTCATTTTGCAATCTAATCATTTTATCCAGTTTATCTTTATTTTGTTTATCATTGCTGACCACTATATCAATTAGTTTATGCTCTACTGGAAAATTAAAATCATTACTGTGCCATAGTTTATGGTGTGGTAAAATAGGAATATTGAACATTTCTACAAATTTTGTAATATTTTTTAATAAACAAGCTACACGAAATTGCAGATTATAGTATTTTATGTTATCCATTTTAACAACTGACTTATTATTATTGAATCGGCAGAATTTATTCCCAATTTCTGAAAAATGATTCTCAACTTTTGTCCTAAAACTTTCAAATGTCTTATTAAAATGATCCTCAGTAATTGTTAAGGGCTCATTTACATTTTTACGTATAGGGTATACAAAATTATCATGGCTAAAGTTATATCCTTTTTCATTAGCAAGCTCTGTAAATTATGTGATAAACAAAGTATATCCACTATCAACTGCCATTATGTCATTCTCATGCATATATTTAAATAATTTCATGTTTAAAAACATGCTACCATCTGAGCTATCAGAACAAAAGTCACTTTTATAAGTATAAATAATCATATCATTCATATCACTAACAAAGTGGGTACGTATTCCATTCTTCTTAAATTTATAAGAATACATTCTTTGAAAGTGGTCAATTTCAGTATCTATATAGTTAATTCTTGAATCATGACCATTCAATACAAGTGTTACATGTTTAAATAAGTCGGGATTATGCTTTCTAGCAGATAGAATACATAATTTGATAGATGAAAACATGTTATTCATTGAATCATTTACTATTTTGTTGATCCGTTTGTAGTTGTCCTCATCCATCCAAAACTTTTTATAAAATGTATGAAATGTGCTATGTGGTAAGTATTTTTCAAATTTTTCACCACATACTCCAGAGACTAAATGATATAATAAAAACAATCCTTTTTCAATTTCAAAGTAAGGTCCGGGATATTCCTTGTTTGTATATAAAACTACTAGAAAATAGAATACAGCAACATAACCTAATTTATGTAACAATTCATCCTTAATTTTTTCTATGAATTTAATATGTTTCAAATCAGTTCTATGTTTATATTTATTATGTACAGTAGGCCAATTCCATTCTAGGAATTGCCAATAATTTGCAATAATTGAGTTTACTTCATTTGTAATTAGCGGTGTATAGTCTGTTATCCATTGGGTCGTTCTTTGTTTATATTATGGATTTTCAATTTTT